ATGTTACACAATTTAAAATTAAATTATGTTTGTCAATAATTTTTAGAGCAAGTGGTTAAAAGTTTCTAATTGACATATTTTTTTACTCTTAGATTACGAGTTCAATACACATTAAGAGCAAAATTTTGTTTCCCCTCCCTAAGTAAGAATTGTTTAATAAAAATCAAATTATTTTCTAAGAATAAAACTAGTAAGTCTAATAACATAATTGCAAGTCCATAAACTAAAAAATAGTTTAAACATGAGAACCTGTGGCTAATGTTAAGTCTGAGAATAGGGAGCAATTTCAATCCGAAAGAGGAAGAAAATGAAGAATGAGCTATGAAAAATCAGTACAGTATCTATGTGTATAAAGTAACCAGAGATCATGCTTATAACATAAATTAATCAGAGAACATAATACATACAAATATTAACTCATAAAAGGGTAGTAAGTCCCTAACTATCCATCCATCCGCTAATCTTTACAGAAAATTTTCTTTAAACTCGATATCATCTTATTTTTTCAGTATACGTAATATGTGATCGTATTACAGAATCAAATAGTAACATATACAACTATACGAACCGAACTAATATTTTGATCAAAATTACATATTACACATATATATCTTATTACTCATACAAATTATACATATAGGCTCATCATTTATGTTGTACAAATATACTGGTCATGCTATCGAATAATTTGTGAAAAAATATTTTATATGGCTAAAGTACAATTTCATAAAATTATTTGATTGAATTTACATTTAATTATATTTTGCTAAATAAATTTTATTTTAGTATTTACATTTATGATACGTATTAATCTGTCATTAGATTGCCTCAATATTTTTTTGTTCGTATGATTCTTTTAATGAATTCGTCTTTGATCATACATAGTTTTGTTTTCGTAAATATCAAGGAGATATTCTTTTATTAGAAAATTTGATGATATAAACTTCTAAATATATATAGGATGTGCAAATCTCGTTTGTTTTCCCTAAGGAAACGACATCATTTTCAAATTCGAGTGAAATATTTTAAAAAATGGTGTGATAAAGGATCGTATTTTAAATATAGATTCAAATTCGTAAATTTCTACTATTATGAAAACATATGAACATTTAGGAATCAATTTTAGACGTTGTACGGTGCTAATAATTCATCACGCGTAATCAACTCTCGAATCCTTAAAATAAATTTATGGTAATACACATGTCAATATTTATATTTTAAAGGGATTTTTCTAAAAGTTCATTAAAAATATATTTTTAGGTATTCAACCTATATTACCCAAAGGTCGATGGCGATTATTAATCAAATTAATCCAAAAATCCAAAATTTTCTAAAATAAGTGGTAATCTTAGATTTTTCTTTCAAAAGAAACCTTAAAGAACATTATGACAATTAATAATAGAGCAAAGAGCAAGAGCAGAGTATGCATTTACGAATTTTATACTAATATCGTAATAAATACAACTTATTTTATTAGTTTATGTATACTAATAAAATCTTTTTTTTTGGTAGTTTGAGTGGATACCATATTATAATCAAGAATGTATGACATGCACCTTACCAATTTTTTTTGGCTACATCATACGTAATGACATCCGATTGATTGTATGTTGCATTAGTTTAGATACGTGCAATATGTTCCAGAACTATCTACATATGCATGAAGTCAATAAACGAGGTAAACCAAGCATGGATTGGGGCTGAAAGCATGCATAATGGTTAGCTACGTAGGAATGATGAGATACCCTTATACCTGATCGACAAGTAATTCAAAGGCTTGCCATTAGGGGTGGGAATAGGCCAGGCCGGCCTACAGGAGCCTACGGCCTGGCCTATTTAATAAAAAGGTCAGGCTCATGCATTTTTAAAAGCCTATTTAATTAAACAGATCAAGCTTAGGCCTATTAAAAAGTCTTATAAGCCTGATAGACCGGCCTATTTAGAGTGACTACTTTGTAAAATGCACTAAGTTAGAGTGACTTAATAGGGATTTTACTCTAAAATTAATAATTAAACTGAAAATATTAAATGTTTATTGTTAAACAGGCTAGGTCATGCCTAAATAAAAGCATTTGACAGGCCACAGGCCAGACTTAGACCTACAAAAATCATTGTAGGCCAGGCCCAAGCCTATTAAAACTTGGCCTGGCCTGGCCTATTCCCACCCCTACTTGCCATGACAGGTTTCGAAGATTATATGTCATATTTTATAAGTAATGGCGAAGGGTGTTTATTGTCTGAGTCAAATTGAGCCCGAGACATTAATTAGCAAAAGGAAACATCCACGGACACAATATCATTATCTCCCAATTAATTGAGGAAGAGAGAATCAGAGAAAAGAGAAACGTTTTAGCTTGTCCTCTTCAGTACCGCTCGAACCCCTATAGTCTACACAGTCATTGTTATCGGTCTCGTTTATGCAGAATGTTTCAGCCTCGTGGAGTCCAATACAAGAGTTTTATACACCAGTACTATCAAATTTGATATATGATGTATATGCGTCGATATTGACTGAGACTGCTCCTCCACCACATCTATTCCAGTTATCGACCTCCTATTCATTCATCTCATCCTTTAATCATTTTTTGGACGTTGACAGTCAGACCTTAAAGAGATAATAAAATTAAATTCTAAAAATTTATTTTGACAAAAAAATATATTAGATTTATTTTTAATTAAGACTAAGAAGACTAACTATTTATGTAAGTATTTAATCCATAAGAAATGAAGAATACAAAGCTAAAATATAGGAAGTATGATGAATTGATGGCCCAATATCTTTCGGTGTCGTACGACTTGAATTTGTCCCATTTTAAAAAAATATCACAAGTCTTTCTCAGCATTTTCCCAACGGTGAGCAAATATCCCATGCCCTCACACTAGGCTTTTTGCCCATTACACTAAAGTGCAGATCAAGTTTATGTTTTCTTTTTGTTTATTAATAATTGCATATGATTGATCATTAGATGGCGTTTGGTTCGTTGGAATCCCTTGGAATTAGAGGGAGTTGAAATCCAATTCCACCACTTTCTCATGTTTGATATAAGTTTTCAAAGGGGGAATTGGAATTTAATTCCATCAAAGGAGGTAAAGTAAATTTCATCCATAACATGATGTAATTGAAATATTTTGGAGGAGGGATGTGAAATTTGACCATACTACCCTCATCAATCTTTTTGTATTTGGGTCGGATTTTTTTTAAAAAATTTCGGGATCAGGTCGGATATTTTTAAAAAATCAGGTTCGGATCAGGCTTTTTTAGGTTTGATATTCGGTTCGGATTTTTTAAAGTGTGATATTCAGGGTCGGGTCGGATTTTTTTTAAATATGTTCCCCTTCCTTAATGTTCCCCTTCAATAATTAAAGGTTACATAATTAAGGGCATAAAGTATAAAATATAAAAGTATATGAGTTTTTATTATTAAATGATAAAGAATTTTCAGAATAAATATTATCATATAATTACTTTAGATTAATCAAGAAAAATATTTTGATTTAAAAGTGTATGAAATATTTAAATTTTCAAAACAAATTAATTAAAATTTTAAATTAAATTATGAAATCAAAAAAAATTGAATCAAATAATATTTTTAACAATCTTGATATTTTTTGAGATATTATTACCATATAGTGTAATCTTTTTATACAAAACTTCTAATTATTTTCAAATTTTAAAAAAAATTATTAAAACTAAGAAAATTTTAACAATATTATTTAAAAATATTATGATATGATATATAATATCAATCAATCTAAAAACATTAAACTTATCGGTCAAGAAGATTTTTGACATTCTTAAATTAAAAGTTTTTAATTATTCTTAAATAATAATCATAATAAATTACGAATAGAATAAAATAAATTAAAAAATCATTTTTGTAATAAATTTATAAAAAATCGATTTGAACTAATGAATTGATGAATTAAATAATAGATTGTAGGGTAATTAATTAAAAAAAATCATAATAGTACTAAGTTCACTTCCTATATGTTACATCAAAGGGACATAGGCCTTTTATAATTTAGGAAACTTGAAAGAAGATCACGTGCATGGCACTGACCAATCATGGACCGGAAAAATAAATTATCAACAAGGAATTTTCAAGAGTGGCTGGTATGCAGCCACGTGGAAACCCCTTTAAGGCTATGTACTGTATTATTGCAGGAGCATTTTCCCAATTTGCCCAAAAATATAAAAATATAAATTTAATATTCTTTCCCTTTACTATTTATCATTTTATAATGTGAAGTGGTCATAAAATAATCGTGGCCCCACCGATTGGGTTACGTGTATGGCTAGGATTTCTTCCTTGTCCCTTTCAAACCAAGATCCCGAGGGAGTGATCAACGGCTGGAATCCCCTCGATCCAACGGTGGACATGGAATTGGCGGCTGCCGCCCAGCAACGTTTCCCCAGTCTTCGACTGTCGGTAAATTTGGAAATATGGTTGAAAATTTTTTAGCCAAAATTATACAAATATTTTTTTTTAAATATCACATATCATGTATTTTAAAAAATTATTTTCTTATACAGTATAAATGTAATAGTATACATTAAAAGATGTACTAAAGATAAAAAAATTAAAAAAAAAATGTTTGAATGACACTATAATTTTTTAAAATTATATATATTGATAAATTGATGTTATAAATTTATCAAAGTCGTTAAATGATTCGCTTATCTTTTAAAAATTATCGTATCATTATAACGTTTTTCAACATGCCTGATAACATTTATACTAGATGGAAAATATGTGAATGGATTTTTTCACTGTATTATCTAATCAATTTTACTCAACTTTTTATTACAAAACAAATTAGAAAAATAAAGTAGAAGTTGAATACTGTGAGGTGATTACTCCTATAAAAATAGGCACAGACTTGGACAAACATGAAAGTTTGGAAGAAGAATATATATATATTTTCTTCTTTTCTTTTCTTTTCTTTTTCATCGAGAAAATCTGTAAAGATTTCCTATAGATCCTCAAAGTTTTTGTTGCAGGCTTTTGATCATAATATTTCATCCCGGGAATCTGTTTTCCGATATCATGGATGTGATTTTTATGCCATCTACAGCTGAGAAATCCGTTTCTCCAAACAAACAATTCAAGAATAATATTCTAAGGAGATACAGCAGTGGAGCTGCTTTCGTTTCGAAACAAAATGAAAATCTATCTTACAACACAAGCATCATCCATGGCGGAGGAGGAGAAAGTCTTTTGTTTGCTCCTCCGCCGTCTCTTTCCTTCTCTTACAACCCTTCAGCTCCGCTTCTGAATCCATTATTCTATCAAAACTATCAGAAGCAACTGCAACCACCTCTCCTTCCACTCCCTAACAAGCCTCTCCATAGTTCCCTCCCTTCTCGAACTCGAAGCCTTTCATCGTCTCCTTCTAACGTGAAAAATAACAAAAAAAGAGACCCAAAGAGATCAAAATCAAAACAACTCACTCCTAAACCAGTAGAAGAGCCAAAGAAACTTCAACTCAAGTCACCAGCAGAGGCAACAAAAACAAAAGCTGTAAACAAGCCCTTTCTCATGGCGTCAGCTAAAGATTTGGAATGGGCTTCAAGTTCTATCTTTAAGCTCTCTCCACCACCTAGCAGCTTGCCTTTGCCTAGCTTTTCTCTTAGACCAAAGCTTAGTTGCAACGCTGAAGCTGCTTCAGCGGATGATGATGGAGTCACCAACAATCGTCGACGAATCCTTCGTCTCCCTTGAGAGTCCGGTTTGGTTTTTGGTTCGCCGGTGCTTCAAAGGCCTTAATAATAAAGGACACGTTTCCTTTTCTCACTTTGCGCCTCAGAGTTTTTTTAAAGTTGAGGGTCATAAACTGGAAAGACAAAAGATGGAGCAAAGAGAGAGTTTGCTTGCTCCTAAGGTTTGTTGAGCTTTCTTCTTCTCTCTTTTCTTCCGATCATAGTATTGTATTGTAATGTAGATCATATTGTGATCACCGCCTTGTTTTTTTGAATTGGGGTGAACATAATATATGTAAGGCTTTGCCATTTTAGTTGGTTGGTTTGGAACACAAGATTTCCATCGTGTGTTTGATAAATCTATATAAAATGTTCTATGTATTTCACCGTCCATACAAGGATGAAGAAGAGACATCTGTCATCGTCTGTGCGAAGTAACAGGAGAACAAAAGACAGGAAATAAACAAAACAAGACAAAAACATCCCAGTTTGTGTTAAGTAGACAGATTAGATTTTGTATGGTTAAGACTTTTAACTCTTAAACACTCTCAAAAAACTTTCTACCATAGTAAATTAGCTGTTAAGCTTTCAAGTTTTATGTCAAACCTTGGAGAAGAAATGACAGACAATGAAGAAACAAACTCTCAATAACTAAGCAACGCAATATTATAGTAACAGTTTCCCGCATTCAACATCAAATTACAATTTACTCGTTCCTAACTTCCAGTAACAAGCCACTAACAATGCAAGTGAACCACAATTCCATAATATTTATCAGTAACTTAAAGATCAACCAACTAAATCAGTGCCAATAACAACCTAAACTATCACAAAATGTTAAAACATTGATGTAATTATATTAACTCTTTGAAATACGTCAAGAGGAGTAAACTATCCTTTTAAAAATTTGTGTGGAAGCAACCAAAATATAAAAAATATGACATAATGATTTAAAGTAGTTCAATTTCTAAATTAATCTGCATTGACTACCTTAACATCTATACTAAGAATTTCTGAAATCCACTAGATTTGCTTATATTATTCTAGGACAATGTATAATCTTACAATCACTTCAAGGTTTTTATCCAAAACCTTAAATACACACTTTCCCAAATAGTAAATACAAAAGAAGTAAATAAAATAAAAAAATTTCACAAAGAAAGTGTGTTTGCACAAATTTAGCTCTCACCTAAATCACAATTGAACAAAATAAGCAATACAACTCGAAAGTGTGTTACAATCAAAATATGACAAATTAAGCACAATAGAACTCTTTAATGTTGGTAGACTAATTCAATACGATTCTTGTTGTCCTTGAGATGCCTTGACCTTGATTTTATGAATTCTATAAGAATTCTAGTCATTTAGAGCCGTTGGAGATCATTATAGTTGTTACCTACAACCAAAAATCATATTTAATGCACAAGGGATCAATCTTTTGGTGAAAGAGATCGTTCATTTTTCAAATAATTCGATTGTTGCCAAAAAGGGATCGATCCTTTAGGGAATAGATCATCCTTTTCATTGAAGGAACGATCATTTTGGTGAAGGGATCGATCCTTGAGGTGAAGGGATTAATCAATGGCTACCAGAATCTAAGGAATCGATCTTTGCTCAAGGGGATTGATCATTTTGCTAGAAGATCGAACCTTTGAGCAAAAAAAAAACTCTTGGAAACTCAACTTTAAAGCATAAAAACGGTCGAGTATATTTTTGAAAAATGTTCGACTAAGTTGGAAAACATTTAAAACATATTTTCAAGTTAATTTGAACTTTGAATTATTTTTGAACAATTTTTAACAAATTTGATTAAGTCTAAAATTAATTTTTACAGTTATTTGTTATATCAAAATATTAATCATACAATCTCCCTTTTCTGATATAATAAAAAATTTCAAAAATTATTTTTGAAAAATGATCCCTTTAAAAAATAATAAAAGAAATTATGAATTTATTAAAAATTTAAGCTATAATTTTAGGATTTGAAAAATATGTTCTCATTTGAGTTACTTCTTCCCCTTTTGTTATATGTTAGTATAATATAACATAGTAGAGAAAGTAATAACAATATATATATATATATATATAGAAATAAGAATATAACATAGTAGAAACACTTTAAAAATATCTTTTTAAATTTATTCATTCAATTTTGATTCATTTATTTATGGTTCATTTGGTCAATTGAATCATTATTTAATAAAATATATTATGTATTTAATGTGAATTAGTAAATTGAAATTTCTTTATTATTAATCGTAAAATGGATTTGCAGATTCAAACATAATCTGGGTTACTATGAATTATTAAAACAAAATTCTGGATTTCCATAAAAAAAATTAAGCTTACTACGTAAGAACAAAAAACATATTGGTCAACAAAACAAAACAATCTTGCGTTTGCCAGGAGTCAAACCCAGGTCTATTGCTTGGAGGGCACTTATCCTAACTGTTGGACTACAAACACTAATTATTACACACACGTGAAATGTTGTTTATCATGTTTGATTATATTTAACAGCAGACTAGACACTTCAGAGGGTAACAACGAGGTATTATATATAAGATTCGTCAGGCTTTTCATTCATCACAGCATGTACTATTGCTAAAAAGACTGGAATGAAGTCCATGGGATAATATCTAAAGCAAAATTTAGTTGAAGCTTTTAGGTAATAATGACCCGATTGCGGTCGATCAGTGATTGAGGAGGTGTTGTCTTTTGCATAAACAAAGATTTAGGACACGTTATGAAAATGATGACCCAATTGTTGCTTGGGTTTGAAATTGTTGCCTTGGAACAGGTCAGAAAGATTACAACAGATTAAGACCATTGAGCTATCGTGGGGCTGATATGTTTATCTTTGCATTTTCTCTCATCAGCAAGGCCAGTTATGAAAATGTTGCCAAGAAGGTTTAAACCCTGAATATCTTCTGCATTTAGAATATAATTTTGTTGTGCAGTGTGAGATTTCTCTGTAGTGGCATGTGAATGCTATTTGTTACTTTTTGTTTCAGTGGTTTCCTGAATTGAAGCATTATGCACCTGGTGTTCCAATAGTTCTGGTCGAAACTAAGCTTGGTATGATTTTTACTCTTTTGATAATGGCATCCTTGAATATGTTTGCTATGGTCGTGTTTATTAATCGCAACAGGCTTGATTCCCTAAGTGATAAAGTTTTTCCTATAATTACAGATATCCGAGATGATGAGCAATACTTTATACACCATCCTGCTTCAACACCCATTTCTACAATTCAAGTGCTTGTTTTAACATCAGCATCAACACCATTGCTAGTACTATTACTATTATTCAATGAGACTCTGTTACCCTTGTTTTAAATATTGATCATGCATCACTTCTTCATGAAGGGAGAGGAGTTGAATAAACAGATAGGAGTTCCTGCCTACGTCGAGTGTAGTTAAAAAACACAGCAGGTTAAATATTCTTCGTAATTTTTAATCGAAAAATTATGATGAAGCCCTTTATTTCTGATGGAATCTTGTTGCTACAGAATGTGAAGGCGGTCTTTGATTCAGCCATTAAGGTAGTACTCTAGCCTCCAAAGGAAAACAAGAACAAATCAAATGGTATTTGCTCGATGTTATGATCAATGGAAGATTGGAGTCTGACAAAGCTCCAAAGGAAAACAATAACAAATCAAACTGTCAGCTCCTTGTTGCATGATTCTCTATCGCCGTCACCTTTTCGAAGCAGTAGAAGGCATCCTGTATAGTCCCGCGTCTTAAACGGTATTCTGGGAATTTCTGTGATATAATTGCTTTCTGTTTTACTTGTTGTCATGATCTAAAAGTGATGACAAAATGACAAGCATTTCATGTTAACATCCATGCCTCTTATGATTTTCATCTTTAACCTTCCACTTATGTATAAACCAGATGCTAAGAAATAATCATTTTCTTGCATGATGTTTAATTCTAAGTAATTTGATTAAAATGATATGTATCGTCGAATATTGAGGCACTGAGTTAAAGAATTTGATTAAGTTAATGTGTTATGTGATTTCTGATAAAGATAATTAGCCTTACAAGTTATATCTGATATTATCACCTAGTTTCCTTCGGTAAGAAGGATGAAAAATATTAATGTTAAAACCAATTATTCAAATTATGATTGTGATATTTTCAGTTTGTGTTGTGTTTATTATTACTGTGGACATAACAAATGCTATTATGATATACTATAAATATGATAATCATACGCTAACAATTTTAAATGACATTGTTATCACTATATAGTGGCTATCATTATGGTAGTAGACCGCTATTTAAATCGTTAAAACAATGGAAGGAGATAATTCTAAATTTGAGCCTTTCATGAATTCATTAGTTTTTTTTTTCTTTTGGCTCTTTAAGGTTTTGCTTTAACTAATCCGAACCGACCCGTATCACAAATCTAATTTTGCTGGGTGAATCTCTTAACGAGAGTTTTTTTACGTATATAAGGATTCAAACTCAAAACTTACTTAAGCGATATTAAACTGCTTACCACTTAAAACAACTCCGTTAGTAATAAAAACATTAGTTAATTGTAAATAAACACTCAACAGAGTTAATGTTAGAGTCAATGAAATTTCAAGTTTCAGCATTAAGCATTTAAGTTTGGTAGTTACTTGAGGAATTGCTCGACACCCTCCCGATTGGAATAATGTGGTGGTCCCTCACTATAGTCTATATCAACTTATTTTGGGTTCTTAAATGCTTCCTTCATTTTCATTTAAGCATTTGATTATTACAAAATTCAACGATCTATTTTGTTTTTAAAATATAAAAATTAAAGAAAATAAAATTGAACTTATTAGTTATGTGAATTGAAAGGATGTTCTTGAATTGAGTCGAATCATATTTTTTATCGATTCAAATCTAATTTGAGTATTCTATCTCTCATCTGACACCCAACCTAGGTTTCGAGAGATTTTACCTGATCCAAATTCTAAGATAAAAATCCACACTCTATTCGGTACAAATATTAAAATAATAATATTATTTTAATACAAATTATATATATTTTTAAATTATTCATAAAATTCTATTATATATTTTATTTTTATTGTTTTTATTCAATATCTAAGTGTAAATTATATCAATGATCACCTATATTTGGACTAGTTTCTTTTTTCACAATTAAAATTCAAAAAAATTATATTATTACTAAAAT